CATTAACGACACAAAGTAGAATGCACAAAGCAGTACACAGTTGTGGCTGGGGGACAGTCAAGGACCATCTAGACTTTTAAGTGTTAGGAGCACCACAGGTCCAAACGCTCCCCAGAGCAGACTAAAACTGGATTGCTGTCCATGGCAACACTGTTCTCCACTATTCTGTCTATAATGAGAATATATCAATAGCAGGAAAACTGCTTTCACACATGGCAAACCTCAAAGAAAAACAAGGATAACCTCAGACCACTGTTACTCGCTGTAAGTGGGGAAAACGAAACAGCAAATGGATTTTTAGTAAAGAGAAAAGCAAATATAAATGCAGTTGATAAACTAGAAAGCAATCATCAACTAATTGCAGTCTATAAAGAAGAAAAGATATCCCAAAATCCTTCCCCAAATAGCAACTCAGTCGATGGGAGTTAATCAAGCTTTCCAGCAACCAGTTATTGATGATTCATGGCTTACATCAAATGAAGACTTCGATTTTTATACCAATGATGTCCCCAAATCAAGCTTACCAGAGCTAATGACTGCTTCTCAGCAATTCAGGAAAATTTAGAAGCAAATACGGCATTGTGAGAACAAAAAACAGAACCTTGTTTTGAGGACAGGAATTCTGATAGTGTGAAGATGTGGTTGAAAGCGTTCTCAAACATACAAGTCCAAGGCTTTTCTCATCCTGCCTTTCAATCACCTGACCCTCTTCTGAAACCATCCCTCACGTCTTTAGCAATGTCTGGTCTTACAGAGGAGGAAGCAACAAAGCTGGCAACTGGAATAAAAAAAAATTTATTACTGAAAGTGCTCCATGACAACAAACAAATTATGACAATTTTATTTTTGTGCTCAAAAATTAATAGAGGTGGCTGGGTGCGGTGGGTCACACCTGTAATCCCCATCACTTTGGGAGGCCAAGGCGGGTGGATCACGAGGTCAGGAGATTGAGACCATCCTGGCCAACAGGGTGAAACCCCATCTCTACCAAAAATACAAAAATTAGCTAGGTGTGGTGGTACGCACCTGTAGTCCCAGCTACTTGGGAGGCTAAGGCAGGAAAATCACTTCAACCTGGGAGGCAGAGGGTGCAGTGACCTGAGATCGCGCCACTGTACTCCAGCCTGGTGACAGAGTGAGACTCTGTCTTTTAAAAAAAAAAAAAAAAAAAAATTAATAGAGGTGATGTCTGCATTAGGATCAAGATGAGAGGAAGATAGAGAATAACTTGGGATTCTGAGAGTACCTCCAAGAGTCAACCACAGAAAGATGTCAGCCATTTAACTGGGGCTACAGATCAAAAAGGAAAAAAATACAGTAAATGGACAAGTCCAACAGTCTCCTGAGAAATATCTTATTTTAAGAGGCAGCAGGAGTTGATAGAAAACATAACTAAAAAAGTAGAAGACAACACTGTTACATCTGAATCTGGATCCTATATAGCTTCTCCTGTAGGATCTCTTGGGGAGTGAAATATAAATCAAGATTTAGCTTAGAAAGCATGAAGATACAGGGCTGGGCGCTGTGGCTCACACCTGTAATCCCAGAACTCTGGGAGGCCAAGGCGGGCAAATCACAAGGGCAGGAGTTTGAGACCAGTCTGACCAACATGGTGAAACCCCCTTTCTACTAAAAATAGAAAAATTAGCCAGGTGTGGTGGCTGGTGTGCACCTGTAATCCCAGCTATTCAGGAGGCTGAGGCAGGAGAATTGCTTGAACCCCTGGGAGGCAGAGATCACACCACTGCACTCCAGCCTGGGCAATAGAGTGAGACTCTGTCTCAAAGGGAAAAAAAAGGGGCATGAAAATAGTATGTTCCAATTTTAAATAAAAATTATATTGTCTGAAAGACAATAAAATTTTAGTACTGGTTAGGAAACTGAATTGTTATCTAAAGAAGAAAATATTATGGTTCTCTCCAGCTTTAAAATGGGTGCTCCCATCTAGGATGATTTTCCCAGCATTTGATGTTAACTTGAAGGCCATCTGCTCAGCCCAGGGATCAAAGAGCTGCTAAGCTGTTCGTTGGTAGACTCTACTGGGCAAAGCTGTGCTATAAACTCTGAAGAAAGGGAGATCTTTTAATGTTGACTACTGAAAAGATTAGAAAGATGTCTTGAAAGAGGACTAAATATACCTCTTTAGCATGTGAGACTTAGGTGTTTGAGTGCTTAGCTCTTAACTCTTCTGAGGAGAGAAAGTTCCACAGAACAGGTTTCTGTTTGAGGCTGTAATTCTCCCAGGGCAAGAATACCTACTAAACACTAACAAATGCTGGAAGCAGGCATCTGACTTCCTTTGTGCTAAGGACTGAAATCAGTATTGGCCTCTGGCTCCCTACATTCCTACAGAACCAGCTGCAGGTAGGCAGGAAGAGGTTGTTTTGGCTGCACTCAGTACAGAAACCAAAGACATAAAGAGTGAAGTCTAGGGCGCGGTGGCTCACGCCTATAATCCCAGCACTTTGGGAGGCCGAGGCGGGTGGATCACGAGGTCAAGAGATCGAGACCATCCTGGTCAACATGGTGAAACCCCGTCTCTACTAAAAATACAAAAATTAGCTGGGCATGGTGGCGCGTGCCTGTAATCCCAGCTACTCGGGAGGCTGAGGCGGGAGAATTGCTTGAACCCAGGAGGCGGAGGTTGCGGTGAGCCGAGATCGTGCCATTGCACTCCAGCCTGGGTAACAAGAGCGAAACTCTGTCTCAAAAAAAAAAAAAAAAAAAAAAAAGAGTGAAGTCTATTAAAGGGGTAAGTAGTAGATGATACTGGGGACATTTTGGTAAAACAGTATCAGATTTGTATGAATGTCTTAAATATTACCTATAACCACAGGAGCCATGTGCCCCACATTTCTCAGAACCAATCTCAGCACCAAATAGTCATGTTCTTTCACCACATACTAGATTTTTGGTTTTAAAAACGTAGTTGCTGCAGTTTACATGCCCACTACTCCTGCGAGGCATACACTGGGCCACTTGGATAGGCTGTCATTTTCTGCAAATCAAGAGACCCAAATCACCTCCTCAGAAGCTCTGGCCTATTTCTGTCCTATTCCTGTCTACCCTAACTGATATCCTTGGCTACATTTATGATAGGCCTGTTTTCTGACCATCCTTTCCTTCTTTCAGATGCTGATGAAATTAAGTACAAACAATTGTCAATTATCCAGCACTTGATCTAGGCCTTTAATTCCTTCAGAGAGTGAAGGAATATAGAGATAGAACTCCCACCCACTTGAGGTATGGTTTATGAGCTCCTGCCCAATCACATTACCATTCAGAAGGATTTTCCTGGCTGACTTAAACCAAAAGCTTCATTGTTCCAGCCTGTCATGTCACTGCAGCAACAGCTGTCATCTCAATTGTGCAGTATAATTTTTGACATAATTTATATAAGCACACAGAATTCAATCAGCAGCTGAGCAGGGAAGCAATGTTAACAAATGCCATGAATGGGTATATGATTTGCATATTATTTGGTTCATCTGTGGACTGAAGCTATCCATCCATTCTCCTCATTACTCTGAATAATCCAGAAATGGTGGATGCTCCTGGCCAGACAGCTGTATGTTTTAAAAATCAAAAGCAACAAGAAAAGCAGCCTCATGGCTGGTGAACTCTAGAATTAAGGCTATTTTAAGCATTTATTCTTATTTCCTCAGCTTTGGGGCTGGGACAAGGATCCTCAAAACTCTGCTATTTCCCTACTTTTACTTGTGATTCTCTAACCCTCCTCAACTATAAGAAGAAAAGGATAAAGTAGGGCATTTCTTAGGGGACAAAGGCAGAAGAATATGATCAGAAAAATGTCTCAATAGCAACACAGGAAGAAACCAAAGGGAAATATTTCGCTGAGTAAGGAGAGAAGGTTGCGTCAACATGCTAATGCCAAGGCCTGTCACTTTCCAAGGTAATAGTCTTTCTTGAACATGCCATTATTTTTATTTATTTATATTTTTTAGAGACAGGGGTCTCACTACATTGCCCAGGCTGGTCTCAAACTCCTGCTTCAAGCAATTCTCCTGACTCAGCCTCCCAAAGTGCTGGGATTACAGGTGGGAGCCACTGTGCCTGGCCATGAAAATGCATTTAAAAAAATAAGATACAACTGTAAGTTTGGGAAAAGGGAAGAGCATTAACATTTTGGGGACTCTTGGTGGTAAATCCAGCAGCCAAGAAAGCAGGAGACTTATAACGGCTATGAATATTTAAAACTGATATTGTAGCCAACAGCTCACCTCCAAAACTTCCCCACTGAAAATAATGGCATAGAAGGGAAACTCAGGTCCACTGAGAAGTGAGGGTCAGGTTTGAAGCCTCTTTGGTAACGGGAATGCTTTGGGAGGCCACAAAAGTTGGCAGGGTTGGAGGGTGCCTAGCACCTTGGCACAAGCAAGCACCAGGCAATCACTCACACCTACATAAATATACAGTCTAAATATGAGGAATGGAAAGAAGTAATACATACATACCATATGTGATAATGAAGACAACTGTTCCCTACCCCATCATCCTCATGTACTATAGCTAAAAATCTCCACAGTTAATAATCTTGTCATTTTTTCACAAATTGACATCACTTTACAGAAGCAGAATCGGGGACTGCTAAAAGCAAGACTGAAAGTCCTGGGGCTAAAAAGAGTGCCTTGACAAATTTCAGGGTAAAATTTCAAATCTTCCAAAGGCTGGCGTAATTCTGGGAGGATAAGTGAGGATGAACAACAGAGGGTGGCCCAGAAGACCACACCAGAAACCCTGTATTCTCCTGGGTAGAGCTGAACAAGGTTGGGAAAGCCCCAACAGGTAGGCAGTTGCTATTGGCTTTTTAAAAGATGGGCAACATCCTTTCCATCTCAACATGTCAAAACAAAGGCCAGCTAGTCAGCAACATGTTCTAAGAACCAAAGCAAGAAAGAAACCAAAATTCAACATTATTGTAACAAAATCCCCCAATCTAAAAAGGAACCAACCCTGAAAAGATCAAGACTCTAAGGTGATAAAAAGTTAAAACTCATCTTGAGGTCACAGGGGAGCAGAAGGAAGAGATCAGGGCAAAGGAAAAACAAAAACTGTGGGTATTACACACAGTATGTAAATGCCTGGTCTTCACAGAGAGACACTTATCATTAATCAGACCATCAGTTATGTTACAAGGAAACCAATATCAACATTTCTCCTGTGGAGCACAGTGATAAGCACATTTTTTATGGATGTGTTTAGGATAGAAAGGGGTGGGTAGAGGGGAGAGGAGGCAGGGAGGTGAATGTATTATGTACAAAGAGAAATGACAGAGACCACCCCCTCCTTTAGCTCTTTGCCGTTTCTTTCTCTTTGTTTTCCGCATCCTCAGGATACGCATGCCATGTCAGTCTCTCTTCATAAAATGCTATCACAATTTGTGGACATTTCACATTAGCTTCTTTTGCAAGAACCAGGTCAGCTTCATCTGTGTCTTTCCTGGAAAGAAAGAATATGCTACTTAAAAGGAGAAGTAAGAAGGAAAGAATCTGTCCAGGCATAAGTGTATGTCATTATACGGACTTAGTTGTCTTGATTTCCTCCTCACTTTGACTTCAAAGTGAAAAGGACCCTTTCAGTATTTTCAAGAAGAAATTGATGTAAATGGAATAATATATTAATCCTATTATACAGAAACAGATGTCTGCAGGTAGAATTTAGATGTAAAACATGGTAGGCTCAGTTTAAAAAGCTGAATAATAAATGATATTAATCTGCTTCCATAATTTTTATTTGTGAATAGGAGCATGTGAGTGAACCCAATCAAACCCACATTCAGCTGTACTGATTACACGTAAGTCAATTATGCACAGGTTGGTCAATCCAGTTTCCAGATCATCTAAGTGAAGAGGTCTTAACCCTCCTCACTTTGTGGCCTTTTAAATACTCATTACTCCTCTGGTCAGAACCATAGATTGGAACAAGAAGCAAATAAAACTTTAGCTACAAATTTCAATTATCTCAGTTACAGCCTTTACTACCAAGCATAACAAAAAAAATCCAGCCACATGGTTCTGGTTCCTTAGGCATGATTACAAATCAAGAAAAAAAATTAAATTATCCTGAGAAGGCCAGGTGCAGTAGCTCATGCCTATAATCCCAGCACTTTGGGAGGCTGAGGCAAGTGGATCACTTGAGCCCAGGAGGTCAAGATAAGCCTGGGCAATATGGCAAAACCCATCTCTACAAAAAATACAAAAATCAGCTAGGCATGGTAGTGCATGCTTGTGGTCCCAGCTGCTTGGGAGGCTGAGGTGGGAGGATCACTTGGGCTTGGAAGGAGGAGGTTGAAGTGAGCTGAGATTGAACCACTCAACTCCAGCCTGGGCAACAGAGCAAGACCCAGTCTCAAAATAAATAAATAAATAATAATAAATAAAATTAAATTATCCTGGTATGAGGACAAGGGAAATTACCACTTTGCTGGAGCAGATACTCAAATTTGGACTATGGTGGAAAAAGCCAATTAATGATATGTAAACCATAAGTAACACATATGGCTGAGTAAGAAAAAGCAGTCCAGCCTAGACACAGTGCCTCATACCTATAATCCCAGCACTTTGGGAGACTGAGGTGGGAGAAACACTTGAGCCCAGGGCAACAAAGGAAGACCTGGTGTCTTCAAAAATTTTTTCAAAAAATTAGCAGGCCATGGTGGCATGCACCTGTAGTCCCAGCTACTCAGGGGACTGGAGTAGGAGGATAACTTGAATTCCAGAAGTCAAGGGTACAGTGAGCTGTGATCACACCACTGTACTCCAGCCTGGGTGACAGAGTGAGACCCTGTCTAAAATAAAATTTTTAAAAAGCAGTCCAAGCCGGGCGCGGTGGCTCAAGCCTGTAATCCCAGCACTTTGGGAGGCTGAGGCGGGTGGATCACGAGGTCGAGAGATCGAGACCATCCTGGTCAACATGGTGAAACCCCGTCTCTACTAAAGATACAAAAAATTAGCTGGGCATGGTGGCACGTGCCTGTAATCCCAGCTACTCAGGAGGCTGAGGCAGGAGAATTGCCTGAGCCCAGGAGGCGGAGGTTGCGGTGAGCCGAGATCGCGGCATTGCACTCCAGCCTGGGTAACAAGAGCGAAACTCCGTCTCAAAAAAAAAAAAAAAAAAAAAAAAAAAAGCAGTCCAGGCCTGTAATCCGAGCAGTTTGCAATGCCGAGGCAGGAGGACTGCTTGAGGTCAGGAGTTCAAGACCAGCCTGGCCAATATGGTAAAACCCCGTCTCTACTAAAAATACAAAAATTAGCCAGATGTCGTGGCACATGCCTATAATCCCAGCTACTTGGGATGGCTGAGGGATGAGAACCACTTGAACCTGGGAGGCGAAGGCTGTAGTGAGCCAAGATGGTGCCACTGCAATCCAGCCTAAGTCATAAAGCAAGACTTTGTCTTAAAAACAAAACAAAACAAGCAGGCCATACAGCTCCTTATTTCTGACAGAATATAGCAATTCTTCAAACAAAGGCTTCTGGGTAATTTACCAGTAGCACTCTCATCAGATAAAATAATAAGCCTTTGATTATACAGCCTTTTTTTTTTTTTTTTTTTTAAGTGCAGTGGCATCATCTCGGCTCACTGCAATCCTCGCCTCCTGGGTCCAAGCAATTCTCCTGTCTCAGCCTCCCGAGTAGCTGGAACTACAGGCACCCACCATCATGCCAGGCTAATTTTTGTATTTTTAGTTAGAGAGGGTTTCACCACATTGGTCAGCCTGGTCTAGAACTCCTGACTTCAGGTGATCTGCCTGCCTCGGCTTCCCAAAGTGCTGGGATTACAGGCGTGAGCCACTGCACCCGGCTGATTATACAACTTTTAAGGTAATATGTTTCTTTAGTGGCAATGCAGCACAAACCCTCTATGTATCACAAACCCAGAATACTTGGAAACAATGAGGGCCACACCATAAATCACTCTGTTTTTAAGAAGTCAAATTGAGCGTCTTTAAGTAATCAAATTGAGGGCTGGGTACAGTGGCTCACGCCTGTAATCCTAGCAATTTGGGAGGCCGAGGCGGGCAGACTGCTTGAGGTCAGGAGTTTGAGAGCAGCCTGACTGACATGGCAAAACCTCATCTCTACTAAAAATATAAAAACTAGCCAGGCGTGGTGGCAGGCACCTGTAATCCCAGCTACTTGGGAGGCTGAGGCAGGACAATCACTTGAACCCGGAAGGAGGAAGTTGCAGTGAGCCAAGATCATGCCACTGCACTCCAGGCAATAGAGTGAGATTCCGTCTCAAAAAAAAAAAAAGAAAAAAAAGAAATCAAATTGAGAGGAACTACTTCCCTTTCATCTAAGAGCCATTCGGTCTCTACTGGATGAAATAACTTGTGCTTTGGCCAGTATTAGCCTTAATGCTTTTTGTTGAGATTATTTTTCTCTTTTAGACATTATTCAGCAGGTTTGGCCCTCAGTGATGGCAGAAAGTCTCATCTGATTCCTAGTCCAGGGTCACAGGCCCATGGTCTTACAGTAAATAATTCAGAACTGTGTAAACAAATGGTTATGTCATGTTTATGTTTTGGTTTCTTTTGAGAAAGAGTCTCACTCTGTGCCCATGTGGGAGTATAGTGGCTCAATCTCAGCTCACTGCAACCTCTGCCTCCCAGGTTCAAGCAATTCTTCCTCAGCCTCCCAAGTAGCTGGGACTACAGGCATGCGCCACCACGCCCAGCTAATTTTTGTATTTTTATTAGAAATGAGGGTTCACCATGTTGGCCAGGCTGGCCTTAAACTCCTGACCTCAAGTGAGCTGCCTGCCTTGGCCCCCAAAGTGTTGGCATTACAGGCATAAGTCACTTTGCCTGGCCCTTATATATTTTCTACCTCAAATTTATCTTTTTTCTGATATGTAGGCTACTAGAATTTGGCCTAATAACAAAGCTTGAGAATGTCTGAAATCCATTCTGAACCATAATTCCCATTTAATACCAATAATTGGTATCAGTTAAGGATCTCTGACATTCAAAATTCATGGTCTGGGAATACGCAGTCTTGCCACTTAATCTTCCACACAAATTCAAGTGACTGGCGAAGTAACACAATTGTAAAGTGAAGCCAAATCTTTCTCACCATTTCATTAGGAACATTAAATCACCACAGGAATCTGTCGCCCCAATGATCTTTTCTGGTTCCAGTCCTCTCTCAAAGCCCCGAGCAATATCATTGCTCTGCTATAAATAGAAGATGAAGAAAGGTTACAGCTTATGGAAAGAATAAAGAAACTCCCTATTTCTTTATTCAACAAAAACTCAACAAAACACGATGTAAGTTAGTATCACCTGATACCATTTCTGTCACCAATTCGGAAAAATTTTTAGAACTTATTAACAGTACTAAGTAGGTAGTGACAGTGATAATGAAGTGACAGTGATGCCAAGAGATATTTTTGTAAGATGTTATCTTTCCTGGAATTCCTTTAGAAGATTGGAGGTGAACCCTAGAAGTCTCTAATGTTCCGTAAGATACTCTGCAGTCAACATCTAGGAATTCCTCTAATCCCACTCACTCAAAATATCCTTAATATTGTTAAATAAGCTCCCGAAATGATAAAGACTATGTTTACCCTAATTAAACCTTTTCATTTTACAAACTTCAAATATTCTACCTCTCTCAATCTTTATTTTTTAGACTTTTAGTTTACCTTAACACTAACCAAGAAGTTTAATACATTTCACAGTCACCTATATTTATGAAAGAACAGAGGTAAGAATTATGCAAAGCCAGTATTATTAAATGGCAAATTTCAGAGATCACAAACACCAATACCTATGTGCTTGGTTAGAGAGAAGGCCCTGGTCAGTGCCTACCCCCACTGGATGTAGATGATTGTTAGCATTAGAGAGCAGAACTGGACTGTAATTACAAACAAAAAAGAAAAGAAAAACAAAACATTGTTCTGGTGCAGTGCCTCAGGCCTGTAATCCCAGCACTTTGGGAGGCTGAGGTAGGAGGATTACTTGAGACTAGGAGTTGGAGACCAGCATGGACAACGGTCTCTACAAAAAAATTTGTAAAAATTAGCCTGGCACAGTGGTGCACACCTGAAGTGTGCTACCTCTATTCAAGAGGCTGAAGTGGGAGGATCCCCTGAGTCCAGGAGTTCAAGGCTGCAGTGAGCTACATCATGTCACTATGCTTCACGGTGGGCAACATAGTGAGAACCCGTCTCTTAAAGTATGAAAGAAAAAAATCTTTTTTTTTTTGAGATGGAGTCTCACTCTGTCGCCAAGGCTGGAGTACAATGGCGCAATCTCAGCTCACTGCAACCTCTGCCTCCTGGGTTCAAGTGGTTCTCCTGCCTCAGCCTCCCAAGTAGCTGGGATTACAAGCATGTGCCACCACACCCAGCTAATTTTTGTAGTTTTAGCAGAGATAGGGTTTCACCATGTTGGCCAGGTTTCACCATGTTGGGCACCATGATAAGGTTTCACCATGTTGATCTCTTGACCTCGTGATCTGCCTGCCTTGGCCTCCCAAAGTACTGGGATTATAAGCATGAACCACAGTGCCCAGCCAGAAAAAAAAGTTTGATAATTCATGAGATAAGTATTGAAACTTGGTCTAAATTCAGTAATACAATCTAGACAAGGAGCACAGGTTCTAATCCAGATATAGTAACACTGATGAGAGCTAAAAAGCAAAACTTTATGCAAGCCAGATAATTTTTTTTTTTTTTTTTTTTTGAGACAGAGTCTCCCCTCTGTTGCCCAGGCTGGAGTGCAATGGCACAATCGCAGCTCACTGCAACCTCCGCCTCCAAGATTCAAGTGATTCCCCTTCCTCAGCCTCCCAAGCAGCTGGAATTACAGGCACACGCTACTGTACCTGGCTAGTTATTGTATCTTTAGTAGAGATGGGGTCTCACCACGTTGGCCAGGCTGGTCTCGAACTCCTGGCCTCAGGTGATCTGCCTGCCTTGGCCTCCTAAAGTGCTGAAATTACAGGTATGAGCCACTGCACTTGGCCATGCCTGAATAATTTTTGTATTTTTAGTAGAGACAGGGTTTCACCATGTTGACTAGGCTAGTTTCAAACTCCCGGCCTCAAATGATCCACCCGCCTTTGCCTTCCACAGTGCTGGGATTACAGGTGTGAGCCACTGTACCCAGCCCAAGCTAGGTAATTTTTTAAAACTTTATTATGGAAGATAATGTTAGCCTCTCCAATGGCAACACAAAAAACGATTTAGAGAGGCCCAAATGAGCTAAATCTCTACTGATGATTCTTACAGTAAAATCTTTTTGATCTGATGATGTTCACCTTGCTTTCCTCTGGGACACATTCCTCTGAGAAAGCATTTGAGGTCTGGGTGGTCCCCAAAGATACCAAAATCCACAATAGGAAGGAAATTCCATGCATGAATCATTGAAAGATACTGACTTTAAAAAACACAGCCTCTTTGGGGGGCGCTTAAGGGAAGAAGTTCCCAGATGTGCACACAGCTGCTCACAGCTGGAATGCTGGCACATAGACTAAGTTGTAAATCATAGCTGACAGCTGAAAACAGTTTGCTATATAGGGAGGGAGGGGGGGGCGCAAATGGAAGAAAAATGTTCAAGCTGCCAAAAAGGAGCCTCAGCGAAGAAAATGCTAAAATCATCATACAGGCAGTAATCTTAAATCAGGCATAATGCAGACTAACAAATTTCTTCTGCAGTGGTCTTAAGAAAGAAACGCAATCCCTTCTTGTACCTTTAAAACATACCATCACCTATCTTTCCAACTGTCTACCTGACAGCAACCAGTACTGCTAGAATGCTCTCAGGGGCCCCAGATGAACATTATGATCTAGGAAATGTGGGGGTTGTTTTCAAGGTCGGCAGCTTCAGAACCTGGCCTAGGAACAAAACTATCTGCACTGGCCAGTGATTCTAAGCCAGATAATTCAGGCTGCTCATTTTTAAAAAGGACAGAGGTTGGTGACGATGGCTCACGCCTATAATCCCAGCACTTTGGGAGACCAAGGCAGGAGGATCACAAGGTCAGGAGATCAGGACCAACCTGGCTAACATGGGGAAATCCCATCTCTACTAAAAATACAAAAAATTAGCTGGGCATGGTGGCACATGCCTGTAGTCCCCGCTACTTGGGAGGCTGAGGCAGGAGAATCGCTTGAACCCGGGAGGTGGAGGCTGCAGTGAGCCGAGATCACACCACTGCACTCCAGCCTGGGCGACAGAGCGAGACTCTGTCTCAAAATAAATAAATCAACTAATTTAATTTAATTTAATTTTAATTTTACTGGTCTGGGGTGCATCTTAGGCACTGGATAATTTTTTTTTTTAAAGCACCATCCTGGTGAGTATAATGTGTAGCCAGGGTTGAGAACTAATGCTCTAGAAAGTTAGACATCTAAGTAGAATGAAGATAAATAGGGATGCTTGTGGCAGAGATGCTGGAAGATTCAGACGTAGACTTATGCTTTTATTAATTGTAAAGTGTATGATACAGCCTTCAGCACAAAATGCTTCATAACCTTGAAATAAATGAAATAGAAGCTGGGCGGGGGGCAGGATGAGGTGGTAGAGTGTATATATTTATGCGCCCACACACAGTTGAAAAAAGAGACAGACAATAATAGTGCTTATAATGCTAGCTGCTTGAGAGCTAAACAGCAGAAGAATTAAAGCAACTAAATCAAACGAAAATGTCATAAATATACTTTCCAAACTGAAGAAGATTCAAAAGACAGAAATTAATTTTATACTCCAAGTATGTAGAAATAATAGATCAAGAGAATATAAATGCTACTGAACTGTTCACTTTAAAATTATTAATTGAGCCAGGTGCACTGGCTCAAACCTGTAATCCCAGCACTTTGGGAGGCTAAGGTGGGAGGATCACCTGAGGTCGGGAGTTTGAGATCACCCTGACCAACACGGTGAAACTCCATCTCTACTAAAAATACAAAATTAGCCAGGCATGATGGGACATGCCTATAATCCCAGCTACTCAGGAAGGCTGAGGCAGAACTGCTTAAAGCCGGGAGGTGGAGGTTGTGGTGAACTGAGATTGTGCCATTGCACCCTAGCCTGGGTAACAAGAGTGAAATTCCATCTCAAATAAATAAATAATAAAAATACAAATACAAAAATTAGCTGGGTGTGGTGGCACACGCCTGTAATCTCAACTATTCAGAAGGCTGAGACAAGAGAATCATTTGAACCCAGGAGGCGGAGGCTGCAGTAAGTCATGATTGTGCCACTGCACTCCAGCCTGAATGACAGACTCCATCTCAAAAAATAAATAAATAAAAATAAATAAAATCAGCCAGGCGTGGTGGCTCACGCCTGTAATCCCACCACTTTGGGAGACCGAGGCAGATCAAGACCATCCTGGCTGACAGGATAAAACCCCATCTCTACTAAAAATACAAACAAAGGGTGGGCACAGTGGCTCAATCCTGTAATCCCAGCACTTTGGGAGGCAGAAGCACGTGGATCACAAGGTCAAGAGATCGAGACCATCCTGGCCAACATGATGAAACCCCATCTCTTCTAAAAATACAAAAAAAAAATTAGCTGGGCATGGTGGCATACGCCTGTAGTCCCAGCTACCTGGGAGGCTGAGGCAGGAGAATTGCTTGAACCCGGGAGGTGGAGGTCGCAGTGAGTCGAGATCACACCACTGCACTCTAGCCTGGGTGACAGACTGAGACTCTGTCTCAAAATAAATAATTAAAATCGTTAATAGTACATTATGATTTTCACTGCAAAAAAAGATTATCAAGGATTAGAAACAAGGACTATTATTGGAACAAGAAAAAAGAAAGTAGCAAACACTTCAAAGCCCCTTTCTATTCTTAAAAAATTCACCAATGATACTTCTTCTCTAAGATGACTAAGTCTTCTATTCATGGAGAAGGCAGAAGAGTGATTTAATGTTTTACAAATATTTAATTTTGCCACCTTAATACAATTCAGCGGCCACAAATTACATTTCTCACTCAGCCAGGAGAGGGAGCTATAATCAACATACCTCCCTAGAAGCTCTTTTGTTCAACAATTTACCTTATAGGTCCATCCTTACAACAGAAATAACCAAAATATGATATTTTCATTTATTATTATTATTATTTTGGTGACAAAAGGATAGTTTGTGGGGGAAAAAGGGAAAAGAAGCTTACCTCTCTCTTTTTTTTAGATTTGATATCATCAGCACTGTTTGAGAAATTGGATTTCCTTTTGTTACTTTCTGACTTCTCCCTGGGTTTGTTATTTTCACCCTCCTTCATCTTCTTATACTTTTTCATAAACTCAGAAATTAGCTCAGGGCAATCCAAGTTTTTCTCAGGTTCCCAAGTATTGTGCTCCCTGGGCAAGAAAAACGGGAAAATAAAAAAAGGGGTAAAGAATGAGGAAAAAAATCCAATGCCTTATTTCAAAGAGGACATTCAGACAAAAAGGACAGAGAAACCTTATGCTTTAAAGAAGATAACAAATTTGATCCTAGATTTCTAGAAAAATGAAAAAAAAAAAATGCCCACACAAAGACTTATACACAATTGTTTACAGCAGCTTTTTCACAGCCAAAAACAGAAAACAAATTCAAATATTCAGCAACAGATGGTCACATGGAAAAACAAAATGTGGTATATCCATACAAAGGAATATTATTCAACAAAAAAACAAAATACTTAAAACACGCTACGACTTGGAAGAACCCCAAAAACATTATACTAAGTGAAACAAACAAGACACAGACACTATATATTGTCTAATTCCATTTATATGAAATGTCTGGGAAAGAAATTTAGAGAGATGGAAAGCACATTAGCCAAGCATGATGGCTCATGCCTATAATCCCAACACTCTGAGAGGCCAAGGCAGGCAGATCACTTCAGGTCAGGAGTTTGAGACCAGACTGGCCAACACAGAGAAACCTCATCTGTACTAAAAATACAAAAATTAGCTGGGTGTGGTGGTGCACAGCTGTAGTCCCAGCTACTCAGGATCCTGAGGCAGGAGAATCGCTTGAGCCTCGGAAGGGGAGGTTGCAGTGAACCGAGACTGCACCACTGCACTCCAGCCTGGGCGAAAAAGCCAGGCTCTGCCTTAAAAAAATAAAAATAAAAATAAAAATAGATCAGTGATTGCCTGAGGCTGAGGGTGGGAGTTGTAACTCCCAAAAAACAGGAATCAAGAGAATTTTGGGGGACATGAGAATGTTCTAAAACTGGATCACACTGGTGGCTGCACAGCTCTATAAATTTACTAAAAATTATCTAATTGGGGCCAGGCACAGTGGCTAATGCCTGTAATCCCAGCACTTTGGGAGGCGCTCTGGAGTTTGAGACCAGCCTGGTCAGTAAGGGAAAACCTGTCTTCTAAAACTACAAAAACTAGCTGGGCTTGGTGGCACACACTTGCAGTCTGAGCTACTTGGGAGACTAGGGCATTCCGAAAACTGCTTGAATCTGGGAGGCTGAGGTTCGCTGTAGTGAGCCAAGATTATGCCACTGCATTCCAGTCTGGGCAACAGAGACAGTACTCCATCTCAAAAAAAAAAAAAAAAAATCATTTAATTGGGCTGGGCACAGTGGCTCACGCCTGTAATCTCAGCACTCTAGGAGGCCAAGGTGAACAGATCATTTGAGTCTACAAGTTCAAGACCAGCCTAAGCAACATAGCCAAGACTCCATCTCTACAAAAAATTTTAAAATTACCCAGGCATCGTGGCTTGTACCTGTAGTCCCAGCTACTTGGGAGGCAAAAATGAGAAGATCTCTTGAGCCCAGGAGGTTGCGGCTGCAGCGAACCATGATTGTACCACTGCACTCCTGGTAAGAGAGCGAGACACTGCCTCAGAAAAAAAAAGCCGGGCGCGGTGGCTCAAGCCTGTAATCCCAGCACTTTGGGAGGCCGAGGCAGGTGGATCACGAGGTCGAGAGATCGAGACCATCCTGGTCAACATGGTGAAACCCCGTCTCTACTAAAAATACAAAAAATTAGCTGGGCATGGTGGCGCTTGCCTGTAATCCCAGCTACTCAGGAGGCTGAGGCAGGAGAATTGCCTGAACCCAGGAGGCAGAGGTTGCGGTGAGCCGAGACCACGCCATTGCACTCCAGCCTGGATAACAAGAGCGAAACTCCATCTCAAAAAAAAAAAAAAAAAAAAAAAGAGATTGCACCACTGCACTCCGGTCTGGGTGACAGAGCAAGATTTCGTTTCAAAACAAAACAAAACAAATTTGCTGGCTAGGCAAGGTAGCTCATGCCTGTAATCCCTCAGGTGGGCAGATCACCTGAGGTCAGGAATTTGAGACCAGCCTGGCCAACATCATGAAATCCCATTTCTACTAAAAATACAAAAATTAGCCAGGACTGGTGGTGTGCACCTGTAGTCCCAGCTATTCAGGAGGCTGAGGCAGGAGACTCACTTGAACCCAAGAGGCAGAGGCTGCAGTGAGCTGAGATCACACCAGCACTCCATCCTGGGCGACAAAGCAAGACTCGGTCTCAAAAAACAAAAAAAGGGCAGGCACGGTGGCTCACGCCTGTAATCCCAGAACTTTGCGAGCCCGAGGCAGATGGATCACAAGGTCAGGAGATTGAGACCAGCCTGGCCAATATGGTGAAATCCAATCTCTACTAAAAATACAAAAGTTAGTCAGACGTTGTGGTGGGCATCTGTAGTCCCAGCTACTCAGGAGGCTGAGGCAGGAGAACTGCTTGAACCCAGGAGGCAGAGGTTGCAGTGAGCCAAGATCTCACCATTGTACTCCAACCTGGGCAACAGAGCAAGACTCCATCTCTTTTTTTTTTTTTTGAGACGGAGTTTCACTCTTGTTAACCAGGCTGGAGTGCAATGGTGCGATCTCGGCTCACCACAACCTCCACCTCCTGGGTTCAGGCAATTCTCCTGCCTCAGCTTGCTGCGTAGCTGGGATTACAGGCACGCGCCACCATGCCCAGCTAATGTTTTGTATTTTTAGTAGAGACGGGGTTTCACCATGTTGACCAGTATGGTCTCAATCTCTTGACCCCGTGATCCACCCGCCTCAGCCTCCCAAAGTGCTGGAATTACAGGCTTGAGCCACCGGGCCCGGCCCAACTCCAACTCTTACAAAAAAAAAAAAAAAAAAAAAAAAATTGAATTCTGGTTTCGAAGTGGCAAAAACTGCATGATTTCACACATAAAATCATCTGTGCAATTCCTGAAAAGAACAATTTAATAATATATTATGGACCCCCAGTTTATATTATCTTAAATATGTTACTCTTTTTTTTGAAACAAAGTCTCACCTTGTCATCCAGTCTGGAATGCAGTGGCATGATCATGATTCACTGCAGCCTTGACCTCCTAGGCGCAACTGATCCTTCTGCCTCAGCCTCCCAAGTAGTTGGGACTGGGACTACAGGAGTTCACCACCACACCTGGCTACTTTTTTTTTTTTTGTAGAGAAGGATCTCACTATGTTGCCTAGGCTGATCTTGAACTCCTGGAGCTCAGGCAATCCTCCTGCCTTGGCCTCCCAAAGTGCTGGTGTTAAAAGAATGAGCTACCACACCCATCCCGTCTTGGGAATTTTATTTGTTTTATTTATTTATTTATTTATTTATTTACAGAGCTTTGCTCTTGCTACTCAGGCTTGAGTGCAATGGCATGATTTTGGCTTATTGCAACCTCCACCTCCTGGGTTCAAGTGATTCTCCTGCCTCAGCCTCCTGGGTAGCTGGGATTATAGGTACCTGCCACCACCACCCAGCTCATTTTTGTACTTTTACTAGAGATGGGGTTTCACCATGTTGGCCAGGCTGGTCTCGAACTCCTGACCTCAAGTGATCCGCCCGCCTCAGCCTTCTGAATTCCTGGGATTACAGGTGTGAGCCACCGCGCCCAGCCTTTGTTTGTTTTAAATAAGGTTTCTTTAGATGGAAATGATCTGAACACATCCCATAATAAGTGTCTCAAACAGGAAGCAGAATAATAGAAAAATCTGAGCTATTTACTCTTGACCTAAACAACTTTCTACAAAAGTAATATTGAGAATAAATTTATTTCTAAATCATTTGAGCTAATATGAGAAAGCTTCTCCTTTATATCCCTTCTCTCAGCAGAAAAAAAAAATTCCTCATCTTACTCCTCTCATCCCAGCACTGGGAGGTGGAGGCTGTTGGATCACTTGAGGTCAAGAGTTCAAGACCAGCCTGGCCAACAGGGTGAAACCCCGCCTCTACTAAAAATACAAAAATTAGATGGGTGTGGTGGAAGGCACCTGTAATCCCATCTACTCTGAAGGCTGAGGTCAAAGAATCGTTTGAACCCAGGAGGGGGGAGGTTGCAGTGAGCTGAGATCTTGCCACTGCACACCAACCTGGCTGACAAGAGTGACACCCTTGTCTCAAAAAAAGAAAAAGAGGCCAGGCACTGTCGCCCATGCCTGTAATCCCAGCACTCTAGGAGGTCGAGGCAGGCAGATCACAAGGTCAGGAGTTCAAGACCAGCCTGACCAGTGTGGTGAAATCCCGTCTCTAAAAAAAAATAAAAAAAAAAAAATTAATTAAAAAAAATAAATAAATAAAAGAAAATAAAGAAAAAGAATCAGCTGGGCGCGGTGGCTCACGCCTGTAATCCCAGCACTTTGGGAGGCCAAGATGGGCAGATCATGAGGTCAAGAGTTCAAGATCAGCCTGGCCAAGATGGTGAAACTCTACTAAAAATCACCAAAAAATTAGTTGGTATAGTGGGAGACATCTACAATCCCAGCTACTTGGGAGGCTGAGGCAGAACTGCTTGAACCCAAGAAGCGGAGGTTACAGTGAGCCAAGATAACGCTACTGCACTCTAGCCTGGGCAAGAGAGCAAGACTCCATCTCAAAAAGGAAAAAAAAGAGAAAAAATTCTTCACACAGTAACCTTCCCCAAAACCCACAGACCATACCATCCCAGAGAAAATTAACATAGCCGTATCAAAAGGTGTACCAAGACTATTACACAAGCCAAATAGACTTCGGGGTTGGGAAGAGTCTGTCTGTTACAGTATATATAGGAGACTGGAGAGACCAATGGGTTTAACAGGAGGATTTTATTAAGGTGGCTACCGGATTAGAGGATTAGCATTTTAAGTTTGAGCCCCAGAGAAAGAAAATGGGGTATTTTTAAACATTTAGGATGACATAGCAGCTAACAGATTTACAGAAGTTAGAACAAAGAACAGTTAATTAATTTGCAACATGTTTTGTGATGTACGTTACATTTGAAAACAGCATTTTGAGAAACTCACTGTACATTTTTGGGGTTATCTTGCCCTGTGACCTTGCAGCTGGCCAGCAGGAGAAACAGGAGTTTTGGGATGCCTGGGAACTTTGCTGAGAATGTGGGGAGAATAGATAAGGTAGGTTTTACAAAGAGTTAGTTAATTTTAAGCAGAGCTGGGGTTAGGTTTTATATTAAACAGCGCACAACACAGAAAAATTTATTTTTTATTTTATTTTATTTTTTTTTTTGAGACGGAGTTTCGCTGTTGTTACCCAGGCTGGAGTGCAATGGCGCGATCTCGGCTCACCGCAACCTCCGCCTCCTGGGTTCAGGCAGTTCTCCTGCCTCAGCCTCCTGAGTAGCTGGGATTACAGGCACGTGCCACCATGCCCAGCTAATTTTTAGTATTTTTAGTAGAGATGGGGTTTCACCATGTTGACCAGGATGGTCTCGATCTCTTGACCTTGTGATCCACCCACCTCAGCCTCCCAAAGTGCTGGGATTACAGGCTTGAGCCACCGCACCCGGCCTAGCAAAATTTATTATATGGCAACTACAAATTATAAGGTTTTGTTTTTACTATTATTGCTATTATTTAATTTCCTTTTTTATGTTGATAGCAAGGAAAGCCAGTTCTATAATGGGACTACCCCTTTTCCTAACACTTTGGTACTGCTGCTTCTACTTCAACCAGTTTCACCCAGAAGACAACATGGTATGATTTTAAAAGGGCCTGGGTTGGCCAGTCACAATGATTCATGCCTATAATCCCAGCACGAGAGGCTGAAGCAGGCCTGAGCCCAAGAGTCTGAGACCAGCCTGGGTAACACAATGAGACCCCATCTCTATTTTAAAAATAAAAATGTAGGCCGGGCGTGGTGGCTCACGCCTCTAATTCCAGCACTTTGGGAGGCTGAGGTAGGTGGATGACCTGAGGTCAGGCGTTCGAGACCAGCCTGACCAACATGGTGAAACCCCGTCTTTAAAGAAAAAAAGAAAAAGAAAAAGAAAAATGTGTGATAAATTAAAAAAGTAATTACAGTTTTTGAAGAGGCAAAGTCTTGCTATGTTAACCAGGCTGGAGTGCAGTGGCTATTCACAGGTATGATCCCACTAATGGTCAGTTTTGACCTGCCCTGGTTCCCTCCTCCTTAGGCAACCTGGTGGTCCCTCACTCCTGGGAGGTCACCATATTGATGCCAAACTTAATGCAGACACCTGATCGATTTAGTGCACCACAGCCCAGAACTGCTGGACTCAAGCAATCCTCCTACCTCAACCTCCCTAGTAGCTGGGACTACAGGTATACACCACCATGCCTGGACTCTGAATGCTTTTTTTTTTTTTTGAGACGGAGTTTCGCTCTTGTTACCCAGGCTGGAGTGCAATGGCGCGATCTCGGCTCACCGCAACCTCCACCTCCTGGGTTCAGGCAATTCTCCTGCCTCAGCCTCCTGAGTAGCTGGGATTACAGGCACACGCCACCATGCCCAGCTAATTTCTGAATGCTTTTATGAGAATCAAAGAGAACACAAGAGGTAGAATCTGATCACTGTCTAGCACATTTAGTTACAGTCAATGCTGATTTGTTCCAGTCTTTTATGAAATCAAGGGCATTTCTGAAAAAGTAAGGACCAATGTTAACTTGTCTACCCCAACCCTTGTCTTTCCTCCTTTTATCTACGGTAAGATACCAGTAGCTCAATGGCAGAGAAAGAGTTTCAAGTATCTTTCAAACATCCAAGTATTTCCAGTGGTGATTCAATAGGCCCAATAAACATCTTCAAAATCTTCCAGTGTTACTTTAGTTCCTATCTGTTAGTGCTCTAGAGGTCTCTCAAACTCAACAGTTCTCATCTCTAGTGGAAGCTGTGATACCACTCCTCTCTAGAAACAAGGAGGGCATCTTCTGATTGTTGTGCTACCCATACTTGCATTCTGGGTGCTAGAGATGCTAAGGATCCTGCAATGCATGAATGATCCCACCTACAATACCATTAATTCTCCAGATCAGAAGCCTTGATTCATGTAATAAAATAACCTCCAGTGTGTTTCAAAGGTTCCTGACAAATAACCTTTATCCGAAAGTATTGGTAAACCACTGCATCTTTTAGTGTATTTAGTTCCTATACGGCAGAGCTGTGCCATCCAATATGGTAACCACTAGCCACATGTGCCTATTTGAAATGCAGCTAGTTTGAATGGAGATGCAATATAAAGTGTAAAATATATCCCAGATTTTCAAGTGTTAGCGCGCGTGTGCGCTCGCGCACACACACACATCTCATTAATAACTTTTGTATTAATGTTGAAATAGTATTTTCACAGCTGGGCACGGTGGCTCACACCTGTAATCTCAGCACTTTGGGAGGCCGAGAGGCAGGTGGCTCGCTTGAGCCTGGAAGTTCAAGACCAGCCTGGGCAACATGGTAACATCCTGCCTCTACTAAAAACAGTCACCCAGGCTGGAGTGCAGTGGTGCAATCTTGGCTCACTGGAACCTCCACCTCCTGGGTTCAAGCCATTCTCCTGCCTCAGCCTAGCTCATTTTTTGTATTTTTAGTTAGATGGGGTTTTGCTATGTTGGCCACGCTGTACTCGAACTCCTGACCTCAGGTGATCCCCCCGGCTCAACCTCCCAAAGTGCTGGGATTAAAGCATGAGCCACTGCATCTGGCCTTATAAACATTACTACTTGTCCTTTATTCACTGAGGAGATAAAATGATTAAGGAAATTAGCCAAGGCTATCCAGTTTGTATCATAAGTGGTGGAGTTAGAATCTCGACCCCGGCAATCTGGCTCCTGAATCTGTGCTCCTAACCAATTCATTATACTGCCTTTCAAAAGCAGTATCATTAGAACAGAAGCTCCACAAGAGGGGAGATTTTGTTTTGTTTATTGCTGTGTCTTCTAGCTCAGGAAGAGGGCAGGAGGGGGAATAAAAAAACAAAGATGGTTGTGACTCCTAAGGAAGTAGACCAAAAGGTGTCTGTCTCTTTTTTCCCCAAAGCCTGGGAAAAAAAAAGGAACTTACTCAGAAAAGCCTTTCCACTTCAGTAGATATTCCACTTGTCCCTTAACCACACGTCTGTCTAGCACCTTCTCCACAACATACTCCTCCTCATCCTCTGAAGAAGAACTGTCAGCTGTCCGCTTGGTTTTCTTTCCCATGTCGCACACCGTTCCCCCTGAAAGACTAAGGCCACCGGGCTCCTGCAAAGGCAAAGGACAAAATGGTTAGAGTCCATGTGAGGAGTTAAAAACTTTGTCTCTTCTTGATGGGATGAAAGGGGATAACACCAAGTTGCCATGTGCCCTGCTCTTGAGTCTCAAATCATTCTACAGATAAGACCTAAGAATTTAATTCAGAAATCAATCAGTCTTCACTTCCTCAACGACTAAAGAGACCAAAATTATTAGAAGGCATACTGTCTAACTCTTTTATTTCAGATTCCGAAAGACAAGTAGTGTGGTATGCTATTCCTAAACAGAAATATGGAAAATATTCACTTAAATGAACCAAGATAGAACTAAACCTTCCCCTCCAAGATGCATAAGGGTCTTTATAAAAGTGAAAAAAAAATGAAAGCCACTAAAATATAAGTTTTCTGTGCTCTGAACATCTTGCCCAGTCTCTTAGAAGCACAAAAAAAAGGCTTGCTCAGGCATCTTTCACCACATTTTCAGTGACTCGGTACATTTCCCTTATACAAATTGAGCTTGTCCCTTCAGAGAATCCATCAGCTCATAAAAGCAAGGCTGACATCTCAAACACACTAAGCTTCCTTTTCAGCAAGCTAGTTTGGGGATGGGAGGGAGGCAGGGAGGAGAGAAAAATTTTTAGTCCTAAAATTCAAAATTACTCACTAGATTGTTCAGTAATTCCCAAGATGCAACTAGCCCAAATAGTTAAGAAGGTACTTCTCCTCCTAACTGAAGTTGACTCAGGGCCAAAGAAGAGGAGGAGGAAAAAGAAGTCTGGCCCCAGACTCAGCATCAACATGAAGCCTCCTCAAAATACAGAGGAACCATTCATAGGCCCAAGGAAAGCTGAAGCAAGAAAACACAAATGGAAATTGAGTTAAGCTTAGAAATATGCACACCAGGGGGTACTCAACAGAGAATCTAGTTTTAAAAATTCTCATGTTGTTGTTCCATAATCATTTTTAAGAATTTTTCTTTAACCATGTTAAATGGTGCCTACAGTCTGGATTATAGAGTAGCAGAAACTGTTTTCTTAGCTGAACTCCATTATTATTTTGCTGTAATCTTCAAAGATGTTTTTCAGCACCCTCTAAATATTTCCACCCTGACCAGAAAACCACTTCTAGAAATAGAGAGGGCCCACTACTCATCTCAGAATTATGTTCAAGTCACATAAAAAGTGGCAATTATCAATTCACATCAAATTATTAAAAATTATTACAAGAATATATAGTTGGAAACCCTATTTCTAGAACTTATTAGCAATAGGTCTGCCCACCTAAAAACTGCCTACATCCATTACTGCCCTATCATTGAACTAAGTTTTTATTAAAATATTCTATTTGAAAGAGGAAGTAGTAAGAAAATGTAAGTGGGGGGAGAAAATAATTTTTCCATGAATTTAGAAGAATCCTAAGCTTCAAGAAAATATCTGATTTGGTTTATTTAAAATAAAACAGCCTCCGACCTCACCAGAGACAGGAAATGTCATATTCCAGGGAGAGTACCCCACCCCCACCCCCACTCACCTTGGAATTTCCGGGAGCTGAGCAGTTTAGGTCAGAGCGCTGGGGTTAAAACCAGCCCCATGTTAGATGCATGCAGTTAAGCATTGTGGCTATGGCCTCCCCTGTCTCACCAGGAAAAACAAGGATTTACATGTGTTCTTCATTTTGAGGGAGAAAAAAGGAAAATCTCCCTTTATACTTTCATGCAGAAGAGGAGCCCCAAAGGTAGAAGATGAATGGGGGGTTCCCTCCTTTACCTACCGGATCGCCCCAGTTCTTTCTTTCCCTCTGGGCTAACAGGAGGGGCCTCCCCTCCCAGGTCTGGGTCTTGGCGGGCTGGCAGCTCCCCCGCCCCCACCCAGCTGCCTGGGCGCCACTGCGCAGCTGTCCCAGACCGTTGCCATAGCAACTGGCAGCAGTACTACACTAAGGGGGAGAGGCAAATGGAAAAGTTAAAAGGCTTAACTTTCCTTTTCAGTGAAGACTGGGTGGAGAAGTTGGAAGGTACCTCCTTGGCCTCAAGGCTAAGGAATTCAAAACTCAAGGGAATTACTTTTTAGGTTTTAAATCCAGAATTTATGCTTACTTCTCTAAAAGCACTGTAAATTAATCAATAGCATTTTAAGATCATCTAACAAGATTACAGCTCAACTGAAGGGGGGAGGGGAAAGGCTGGATCCTTCTACAACGGGATCAGTACAAACCACCCATCCCCTAATCCAGCCCACCAGAAGCACTTCGGGCAATACCATTTTACCATCTGTCACTGAACAGTTAATTAAAATTGCTTGAGGGGAAAAAATAACAGGAAACGGGGGAGGGGAAGTATTTTAAAGACACTATAACAAGTTTCCTTCTTTGGGAGGATTACTAGAGACACAATCCAAAGACCTGAAACTGAAAAAAAAAAAAAAAAAAAAAAAACCTTAACTAAAATTACAGGCGGAGGGCTGGGCACAGTGGCTCCTGCCTGTAAATCCCGGAATTTTGGGAGGCTGAGGCAGGCAGGTCATTTGAGGTCAGGAGTCTGAAACCAGCCTGATGAATATGGTGAAATCCCGTCTCTACTAAAAATACAAAAAAATTAGCCAGGTGTGGTGGCAAGCGCACACAGTCCCACCTACTCTGGACACAGAGGCAGAAGAATCGTTTGAAACGGGGAGGCAGAAGTTGCAGTGAGCTGAAGTCGTGCCACTGTACTCCAGCCTGGATGACAGAATGAGACTCTGTCTCAAAAAAATAAAATAAATAACAGGTGAGAAAAAAATTCCTAAGAAGTTAAAAAAAAAAAAAAGAGGAGAGCAGTTCTACCAACCTAATGGTTGTTAAATTAAAACCACTTCTAGGTTGTTCTATAATGTTATGAAACAGATTTGTTAATAACTATTCATCACCTGATACATTATTAACGTACAACTCTATACCAGTATGTCACAATACTTGAGGAGTACTGGGATAAATAAAAAAGATATTTAGAGAGTTGAAATTCCGTTAAGTTTTCCATTCTTCAGGCTCTAAAGAACATTTTGGAGAGCTCCAAACTACTCTGCTTTATAGATACAGGAACTTCAAAGTTGGAAGTGGCTGCTATAAGAGAGTAAGAAAAAGGGACAATCAAAAGCAAAGAACTCAGTTGAAGCAGAGAATGGTGACTATTTGGGCTGTCAAACAGAAGAAACCATAGGGTGTAAGAGCAAAGTAGAAAATTTTTAATTACAAAAGATTTTCTCAAATTTGAAAGGCTCACCAGCAAACCTCCAATTAAAAACTGCGTTTTTCAGCTGGGCATGGTGGCGCGTGCCTGTAATCCCAGCTACTCAGGAGGCTGAGGCAGGAGAATTGCCTGAACCCAGGAAGCGGAGGTTGCAGTGAGCCGAGATCGCGCCATTGCACTCCAGCCTGGGTAACAAGAGCGAAACTCCGTCTCAAAAAAAAAAAAAAAAGACTAATAGTAATTCTGTAAAGGAACAAGGAACAGGAAAGAATGACAGCAATACTAACATTTTGGTGAAACCATTCAGAGAAAGAAAAGTAAATTTAATGAAGAAAGAGACAAAAATATTCTGGTATCCACCCCTCCCCACAAAACATCAGGAAATAAAGATTGAGATCAATTCCCTCCTTTCCACCCTTTAGAAGTACTTAAAGGGCACATGGGCTGAGGTCCCTTTCTTTTAGGGAAATGGGTTTTGTAACCGCTGACAAATCGAATTGGGCCTAATGCCAGGAGTCAGAGTCCAACCATAATATTCTTTAAAGAATGGCATGCAATTGTCTTGTAAATCTCCTGGACAGTCACAGATCAGAAGCTGGCAAGGATGACGACATAGTTCTGATGGAATGTGTCTTATCTTAACCTTGAAGTTACAGATCTGCTCAGGAGCAGCAGTAAGAAATGAGAAATGCACTCGGACATCGGAGGGGACATAATTCTCTTTTAGACAGTGCGACCCAGAGTATTAGGGTCAAATGAAACACAAAGCCACTTGAACAATTTAAGGGCTAGAGCCTGGACCAGATAAAGCATCAAGACCGGTGGTTCACAGTGAGCTTAGGAAGAGGGAGCTTTCCAGCATGAGAAATGAGACATGGCAGGCAGGATGATGGAGTGATTAAGGTAGAATCCCAATACCATGACAGAGGAAAAGAGGATGAGCCTCTGAACACAACCTTATCCTTGTGAGAATCTCCAAGGGAAAGGGTGAGCAGTTTCTCAAATTTCCAGAGTCTTTCAGATGTAACAGCTCTCAGCACTCTCTCTTAAATATAGAGGAACTCTCTGGTAAAGCTATCAATAACTATAGATAGATTAAAGCAACTAAGGTCCATAAAGAGATGAGAAAAGAGCAGACTCTAACAACCCTCCATATCAACAATGCAAGGCAAATTTATCATATAGGCCTCTGATTGCTGGGGGAAGGCACCCAAACCAGGGATCTGGTGAGAAGTCAGGCTTGGAAAACCATCAAAGAACTTTATAGTCGCTCTTGTTGCCCAGGCAAGAGTGCAATGATGGTACAATCTCGGCTCACCGCAACCTCCACCTTCCGGGTTCAAATGATTCTACTGCCTCAGCCTCAGTACCTGGGATTATAAGCATGCACCACCACGCCCAGCTAATTTTGTATTTTAGCCACTGTGCCTAGACAGGAGACTCTTCTTTTTTTGGAAGATCCGTATCTTCCAAAAAGTGGATACAGGGGAAGAGATGAGGAGGTAAAGCAGAAAGATGGGGATGGGATTTTTTAAAAAAAGGAAAAAAAAATCCTTACATTAAAAGTTAGTATCAGTCCCTAGCAATTACAGAGAGAGCATCACAAGCAAGCTAAGGCTACCCAGAGAGACCCCACCTCTACTAAAAATACCAAAAAAAAAAAAAAAAAATTAGTCTGGTGTGGTGACGCACGCCTGTAATCCCACCTACACAGGAGGCTGAGGCAGGAGAATCACCTGAACCCAGGAAGCAGAGACTTCAGTCAGCCCAGATGGCACCATTGCAGT